CCCATTACAAAAAGCAAATTACTAGATTAGTGCAAGAATTGAGTTTTCTTCAGGGAAATTCTTGCAGTACTCCCTCAGAAAACCCTACCTAACAAGACATCATACATTCATACGTCTCAAAGGTGCCACATAATTGTTTGTTTTCATAAAAAAGGTGACTAGTCAAGAACCATCACTTAAGAATCAATTTATAGTACTAACGGATTTAATCACATAGCGGTGTTACATTGGTTTACCAATTCAGATAGCAGCATGCCAGCACTACAAATGTGTGTAATAAAAAAAACAAGAAATCAGCGTACCCAGTGCTGTAACTATAGTTAAACTCTTCATGGTAAGGTAAAGACGGTTCCTGACCCTATCAAGACTAGCCTCACATACAACAGCTCCCATTACAATTGCATTGCCTATAGGAGATGCATTAAGCATAATAAAACAATGCAATAATCTAGGAAGGCACATACCAGAATCACGACTAGCTTCAGCATTGACATCGAACCCGAGCTCCTCCAAAGTACTTGCAGAGATCAATTTTTCCCGAGCTTGCTGCCTCAAAATACCCCTCCATCCTCACAGTGGCGAGCGATTCCCGATCATCCTCATCCATGCTATTAACCACCTCTTCAATACCGAAAGTTCCAAAAGAAAAGTAAGGCTCAAATTTGCACAAATTGCAATTCTAGTTATTACAGAAGTTTCTTTTTGTGCATAAAACAAGATCAAAATTCTAGACAAATGGAGACATAACCTCCCAAAAATCACATCTGGGCACTTAGAAGAAGAAAACAAAACCAAGAGGAAGAGATCTCTTAAAGAAATATGGCATCATAAAGGTAAGTATTATTAGTAATTATTAATCAAAAGTAAACAAAACCAAGAGGAAGAGATCTCTTACAGAAATATGGCATCATAAAGAGAAGTATTATTAGTAATTATTAATCCCTATAACGAATAATGGCAAACAAATAAATTCCTATCCAGAATAGTACCAATTTGAACCAAAAGTAGACAGGAAAACCCTCCACCCGCATTAAACACGCATACACTTCTATCAACAACACGCGCAATCGGGCATACACGATCATATTGTAACGGAACAAGAAACGATGCATGAGGCTAAAAACCATCTCATCCAATTGTTTTCACAAATGCACAAAAACATCGGAGAACACATTCGTGTAGAATATCTACCCACAAAGCCGGCACAGAAAATGCTGAAAAAAAAACTCACAATCACCAGTTCACCACCACACACAAGCTAAAAAAAAGCCCTCCACCGCGCGGCCTCCTCAAAACCCTAACAAAACCCCTATCCCACGAAGAAGCACCAGCAGTTCGGGAGTAAGACGGGCTCGGGGTAGAGCCGGAGGATCTCACCCTTGAGGCGCGCGACGTCGCCGTCCGTACACGCCATGAGGAACTCCATCTGCGGTGGCATCCCGCCGCCGACATCTGCAAACACGCACGCACGCACAACGACGAACAACACCACTCCACCATTAGAGACCACCACCCCAACGAAGAGAAACGAAACCAAATCAGCCAAAAAAAGAAAAGCAGAAACGATCGGGGAGCAGCGGCCGCTTAGCCAACGTACTGACGGTGCACCCGAACCCGAGGCGGGTGGCGATGCCGCTGATTGCCGCCGCCGCCGCCGCCGCCTGCTGGGCACGCGCATCGCTCCCGCGCCGCCCCATTCCCGGCCCTCCTCCTCCGCTCCCTCCACCGCCGCGATCCCCACCCACACCACCACCACCACCACCACCACCACCACCACCCCCGCCTCCGCCTCCGCCGCCGCGGCCGCGGTGCCTTCCCTTACCCTTCTTCCCCATGGAGCTCAGCGAGCACGGCGAGCAGAATGGGATGGGGGCGATGTGGGTTTTGCTTGCGAGAGCCGAGAAGCGGAGAGACGAGGCGGTGGCTTCTAGGAGAAGGAAAGGAAGGAAGAAAGGAGGTGGCGACGTCTCGTCCGGTTTAATCGCAGCGCAGCGCGGAGGGATTGAGATCATCTCTCCCCGCCGCCTTCGAAGCACCTTTGCCTTTAGTCACTGACATGTGGGCCCATGGTTTGTTGGGACCACATTTCAGTGACCAGGACACGTACATACCCACCTTTTGAAGGTAGAGGAGGAGCCTGACCCAGCGCAGCGGGGGAGAGGAGGGAGAGAGAGAGAGAGTGGTGGCACGATCGGCCTACACGTGTAGGTACGGACGGCCGAGATGGAGCGGGGGAGCTGCGGCCTTGCCTCGCATGAGGGCGGAGATTTTGGGACGTGCTGCGCGTAAAATGGTAGGTGTACCAAAATGTATACCAGCGTCAACGAAATGGTCGCTGCCCTGCACTTCGCCGTGCATTTCTCCTCGTCAAGCGGATAAAGCTCAAAATTCTCTCTCTGTGATCCAATCGTGAAATCATTTGCTGCAGAGTTTTTCTTTGTAAATTCAGGTCTTTCAGAAATATTTTTTTTGGCAGATGTGACAACTAATAACTACTCCCTCCGTAAAAAAATATTGGATAATATATTCTAGTACAATGAATATGAACACAAAGTATCCAGATTGTTAGTAGTAGAATGCATGTTTTTTTTATGGGACGGAGAGATCTAATTAAGGTGAGTATTGACCGGTTCATAAATGAAGCCATTAGGGCAACCTCAATGTTGGTTGCTGAATGAGTAATAGGGTGGGCCCATGTGCAGATGGCTTTAACTATGGCTGTGTTTAGTTCACGCTGAAGTTTGGAGGTTTGGTTGAAATTGGTACGATGTGATAGAAAAGTTGTGTGTATGAAATGTTTGATATGATGGAAAGTTGGAAGTTTGGAAAAAAAAACTTTAGAACTAAACAGGGCCTATATCTATCCCTACAATGGTTATGGCTTTGGGTGAGAAATAAGCCAGGTCCCATCAAAGAAGAAATATACCACCAATCCGCAACCATATGCAGATAGGCCCTAGTAGATATCATTTTTTAATCCCTTAAGTTCAACCATAAGCTTAGAGTTGTTTTTAAGCATTTAATGTCTTATGTCCATGTCCACAATGTATTTAGAATAAAAAAATCCACAATGTATATAGCATAAAAAAAAGTCATAAGGCTAATTCTTATGGCCTCATTGTGGATGCCCTTAGTTGTATTGGTGTTGTAGTTGGTCGAGGTGCTTGTCGAGCAAGACGACGCATGACGGTGAGGCTGCCGTATGGTGGAGCTCATCCTTCAGTTCCCTTTTATATATACAGTGGAGAACAGGAGATCATCACCAGTGTACGGAGATTTTCTTTCCTTATATATGCGTATGGGCTAAGGAGATTAGAGGTAAGTAGGTGGCGTGCAATGTTCACGTAGTAAAGGATTGCGACTGCGAAGCCACGGTCCTTGCCTTTAAGCAATAGCAATGCAAGCCACGCTATACGTGTCTCTAGCCCATGTGACACTGCGAAATCAGTCCAAGGCCATTCAACTCCACGGTGCATGTTACTTCTTTTGCATGGCTTTGATTGGGGCGAGCTATTGTCGAGGCCACAAAGCCCACAATACTAGTGACCAAGACAATCAAGGTGCCCCAGCCAATTATAGCAATTCAACAAATATATGCCCATAATCCACCTGCATAATACATATATCTCCAAATCCCATAATCCAACAAGCAATCATATGCATGTTCATAAAACAATGTAATAAAAGCTCATATTAAGTAATTATAAAATTTACTGCATATAAGGCACCATAGGTATTAGAACCTCCGATAGGTTCCTCTACTGCAGTGTTCGCAGTTTCTACCCGAAACAGGGAGTGACATATCACAATTCATACACTCCGCAGATGTGTGTTGCTTACCACAAACGCCTTAAACCTTTTAATGCCCACGCCCGTCGGCGCTTGAAGCACACTTCATGGTGTATGCCGGCAAGGCTAAGGTCACAAGCTTTTCATCAATCCAATCTGTCAATTATCTCTGCGGGTGATTCCCGCAACAACGGCGAATCATTGGATCCCGCAACAACGGCGATCCACATCATCTAATCGAATTCCGCAACAATGGCAACCCTCATCGCTAGACCACGCTCACGGGATTCGCGGAAGTTCTTAAGCCCGCAGGATAAAGCCATTAAGAAAGAACTACTAAGCTAGCCTGTCCCATTCTAGGTCATGTGGTCGACACGATCGCTACGACTCTTGAAATGCCATATAACCGTTGTTGTTTAACCTTATGATGATAAATTTATGATGATAAATATATGCAACTGAACCCCTACCACCATGGCAAGTTCAGAATACACCTATAATATGACCGACTACTCTACCAGTCAATCCAATCCATCAACATATTTATTTTAATCATAGAAAGTATAATTTAATGCAATGTATACATATAGATTGCAATTACGAAAATATAACAAGAGTTAGTCGAAGGTGTTGGACTTGCCTGAGATACCCGAAATTGAAGACGCATAAATCAATGAAAAATTCCAAGAAATCCGAGATAAACGCCCAACTGAAAGAAACAAATAAAATGCAACTAAATACAAGAATGTTTATATGAATGCAATGCACTTGATATGTATAACCCGAATGCACATATTGGATTTATATAGGTTATGGACTTGCTTTTATTAAACTTTTATTTTAAGAAAGAGTAATTATTTTACTTAGAAGAAATTTGCTTTGCTAGAGAGAATTTTATTCCATAAAATCCATGTATATTTATTTAATTAGTATATACATTTAGGTTTGCTTGATAAGATAATTTATAAAGTATATTTTGAAGAAATACTTGGATTATGATTTGCAAAGTTAAGTTGTATTTGTGTGTACTTACAAAGATATTCTATAACTTAAGTTTATAAAATGAATAAAACAGTGACTGTAATAATACATCAGGATTTCCAAGAATTTATTTTTGAAGAGTTTTAACCAATTTAAATATTCAATAATGATTTCCCCTGTATTATAGTTCTATTACACAATTTCTTTAATTTTCCCCCCATATGCAGCCCATAAGCAAAAGCCCAACAAAACATAACCCACCTTCTTCCTCTTCTCTCCTTTTCTCCCGTTCTCTTTCTCTCCCTCACGCTCTCCCAGTCCCAGCGCCGCCGTTTCCCAGGCAGTGCCGTCGCTCTCCCCTGCGCCGGCTGCCACACCCCACTCCGGCGACCCCTCTAGCCGTCGCCGGCCTGAATCGGTTTCTTGGCTCCTCGCTTCTCTGCCCCTAAGCTAACCCCAGCCACCGGTCTCCTGCCGCTGCAGCCGCCGTGGAGATGGCCGGTGGAAACACAGGCAACTCCGGTGGCTGCATCCCTCTCCTCCATAGCTGAGCTACCTATTCCATCCTCCCAGCTCTGATCCCTATTGTGATATACTGGTGTGGTGTCCTCTCTTGTATGGTGTTGTTTATAAACGGTGATGTACGGGTGATGCTTGTGAATTTGTCCGAATGATTATACTTTTAGGGTTGTATTTACTGGATCTAGGGTTCTAGAGAAATTGGCTTGCTAAGATGGATGATGCCTATATGTTCATGATGAATGAATGCTGACATGAATAGAAATCACACTAGCATGATTAAATCCTTAATTATGCTTATGCAATGACCATCGAAATATTGAAATTTGCTACAAACTAATAAACTAACATGATCAGATCCTTATGTTGCCATGCTGAACAGTAATCCGGAGGATTAATATGATTTCATTCATGCATGATGCATCATGGTAGTATCACTTAAGGGATTTAATGACCTAAAAATTATAAATCTTGATCTTGATGTCAAAGTATACTAACTACTGAAATCACAAGTAAATAATGGTGTTTTATGGTATTGGTCTTAGCAAGGTTATGCTGATCAACTACTAAAGTTCAGATTATAACAGATTATGATATTATGCTCTTCTCTAGATGACTTGCTGTAGAGACCCATAAGTTTAGGTTCATTCAAACTAAAAATATACTTGTACACTAGCTATCCAGATTAATCCTATAGATTCAGTATCACTTGTATTAAGAACTAAATGCATTGATTGATTTTTAAGACTGCTAATGTTTCTCACGGTGGGATACAATTTATATTGATTAATACTTACAGAACTAATATATGCCATGTTTTAATCTATAATCATTTGCTCTAGATGCTTTGCTATAGAGACATATAACTCTACTCATTAATTCTAACAATTCAATTTGATTTCCTTTACTGACCTACTACAGCACGATCTGTATATGTTTTACTTGACATAACCTGAACAAGTGAGATTAGGTGAACCCTTCTTCAGTACTGAAGGTTATTTTATTTAAGTTATAACTAAATTCTAACTATTTATAATTTCAGGATTCACCAAACAGATGCATGCGCAGCTGTTTACCTAAATGCATTTACATAATGATTCTAGACAAACTAAAATGTTTCTTGTTACTAACCCCAAATAATTATAAACTAGAATTAACCTATTTACTTATCAGTTAAATAAAAATATTTATGTCCTACTGGTTACACTTCCTACTCTGCAGCTCAAATTACTTAATATTCTTGTTCATCTTCTAATGGATGCAAATGCAACTCACAACTCCTACACATACTAGTATATGCATCACTCAAGAATCATCTCATGATATAATTGTACTTTCATTTCAATCTCCTGATTACCTGCCATGATTTTAGGTGACTGATATATGGTTCACTACTCTGGTTCTGCAGCTTCAATCTCCTGATTACCTGCCATGATTTTAGGTGATTATATGGTTCCCTACTCTGGTTCTGCAGCTACTCTTCTGGACTCTGATTCAAGGGTTCTCCTGATGGAACTCTGATTTCTCCTCTTTGAGCTGAAGCACCACCTGCTCCTCCAGAAACTGAAACCCCTCTCTTCTTGAAGCTCAAGTACCTCCTACTTGATTTGCACACTTGCTACCGATTTCTTTGATTTCTTGTTCTTGCTGATTTTACCTCCTAATCCAATTTACAACAGTTGCCTACTTTCTTTCTTGATTTGAAGCTCCTTATTTCTCCTGGATCTCAAGCATCTCCTACTCTATTTCTTTCTTCTTGTCCTGCTTCTGCTGTTACTGATCCATCTTGATCCATCTTGTTTCTTGAGCTGGAGTACCATCTCCTCCTAGAGCTGAAATCCCTGTTCATGTAGGAACTGAACACCCCTTCTTCTCCTTTTACTCCTCTGACCTCCCTCTCTATGGTTGCTTGACCACGGATGCTATAGTTGAGCTGTGGTGTGGTTGAGATGTAGAACTTTTAGTTGGTTATCACTCTTTCTCCCAATCTCCACTGATTTCCAGCCGAGGCTGCTTGCTGTTGTTGGGATCTTACTACTACTATGGCTGCTGTACTACTGGGAGTTGCTAGCTGCAGCTAGGTGTCTATCGTTGCAACCAAGGCTGGCTCTACCTGACTCTGGATAATTCACATTGATATGCTTTATCTCAGTGCATTTGGTGCTGCTGATTCACCTGCTTGGGCCACATGTCTGCTGCTAGCTTTGACACCTCACTCTTGCATGCTCGGTGGAATAAATCTAAAGCTCTATACTAATTTCCCAATTAATGGAGATTTGGTAATGTCTGATATGTTTGTTGCTTTTGCAATTGAGTCCCTCAAGTTTAGTGAAATTGGAGTTTACTATGAGTTTAGAGACTGATGTGCAATTACCCTAAAACTCAAGAGTTTTTCTGAAAAATAAATAATTATTGAATCTTTGACGAGATGGTTCAGTTTATGGTATTATATCTATAAGCACCATGTATATATGCACAATACATGGGATGCATACTGTATAAAATTTCTAGGGTACAATTATATGCATCTATGTATGCAAACCTGCAGTGGTAAATTGTAAATAAAGAACTGTGTGATTTCTACTGTGCACATGTGTACCTCGCTTCGTGACGACTAATCTACACTATAATTTAACCAAAACTAAATGATCCCACTCCTCACCAGGTTTAGTCTAACAAACAATAAATCAATGATGCACATGGATGTGACTTAATAAATAAATAACAAGGAAACGATCAAAAAATCATTTAAGATCCATAATAGAATAGCAATCAATATATTTATAGGTCCTAGCCAGCATCGTGGCTTAATCAACACTGCTCTCAGCTAGTGTGATTAAGCCATTAGCATGATTAAGACTATTGCTAAAACCCGGGATTTTACATCTTCTTCGTCATCTGCACATGACTCCACTCCGTCTCCTCCGCGGCGTGGAAGAGGAAGTCATCGTTGTCGTCCACCCCGTCAACAGCGAAGTCGAGGATCCGCCTCACGGCGCCGACGGGACGAAAGCGCGACGCTTGGCCTCGTAGTGGGTCCACTCCGTCTCCTCCGCGGTGTGAAAGAGGAAGTCATCATCGTCATCCACCCCGCCGGCGACGAAGTTGAGGATCCCGCCTCACGACGGTGGCGGTGGGATGGAAGTGCGATGCTTGGCCTCGTAGTGGCTCCACTCCGGCTCCTCCGCAGCGTGGAAGAGGAAGTCGTCGTCATCGTCCAGCACGTTGGCGGTGAAGTCGAGGATCGGTCTCACGGCGATGGTGTTCCATCGGCCTCCGTGCGTTTCTCCGGAGGGGATGGTGAGGCTTGAGCGGGACTGCGGGAGTGACATAATCGGTGGCATGGGAGGGATCAATCCATTGCTAGGAGGGCGATTTTGGGAAAATGTTTTTCGATGCGGCGCGAGTGGACGACGAGACGGAGGCTCGACCCTAACAATGCAGGCGCGATTCGTTTGTGGACTGCGCGTAGACTCACGATGAGCAAGAAAACTCGTCTCCCTGTGTGGAGGTGAGATGCTTTGCAGGGGTGCGCAATTACTCGCCACGTAGGCACACTGTGAAGGGCCTAAGCGTAAATGGCATGGGGTGGGCTAAAAACATGTGTTTCCCATGTTAATATTTTTTTTCCTACGTGTAGTATTATATCGAAGAAAATGTAGTGAACTAATATTAACATTTTTTTTCTGCAGTAGCTATGGAAGGGACGTGCACTAGAGTTCTTCACAAATTATACTTTCGAGATGACCGTTAATTGAATAGTTGTAATTTTGAGCAAATATTTGCTACTAGGCAGTAAAAAAATAGAATTTGTTTTAAGTGCTGATATTACTTACTTAGTTAAAGAGTGATTCATCGGTTATCACCCATGTAATTTTCAAGAGACAATACTGAGATAATACATCTAACAGATTAGATTTTTTTATACAGAACACATGCGCGCGCATCTACCACAACACACGCTTGTGTGTGCGTAATATTTATGGAGACTGAAATTTAAACCCTTATGGGTAAAGTCATACACCCACGACTTACACCACATCAAATGCTTACCCTCTAAGATTTAGTTTCATTCGAAGTAATAACTAATATTTGTTTTCATAAAACTCGATTTTATTTTAGGCCATCTATTTAGCTTCTCCCGAGCTGGGCGGCGATGAGGTGGGCGCTAAAGTTGGCGGTCGAGCCGCCAGGCACGCGCAGGCTCCGCCCCCTCGGCATGGAGGGCAAACTCTCTCCTTGCGGCGGGGATTAGGGTTTGGGGTTGGGAATTTTTTGGGGTTTTCTCGCTGTCCTTATGGACTTGTGGAGGAAAGAGTGGCTTCCTTCCAGGAGAAGCCTCGCGGCCAAAGCTGCTTTTATTATGGGAACATGGGTGAGAGGGGGTAGAGGCGGAGCGCGGGATGCACTGGATCGGCGGACGTTTTCAGGTTATAAGATATTTTGACTCCGTTTTAGATTATAAGATATTTTGTAGTATAAAATTATAGTATAATATTTATATTACCAAATTAGTTTATTAAATTAATAATTAAATATATTTTTATAATAAATTTATCTTAGATAGAAAATATTACTATCTTTTCTTATAAACTTAGTCAAATTTAAAACAGTTTAGCTTTGATCAAAGTCAAAACATATTATATCCTAAAACGGAGGGAGTAAGACGTATACAGCATGGTTCTCACCAAGATACAATCATCAAAGAACACGCTCATGCAAACAGGTAACGTTAAGTACAGTTTCAAGAAATGTTATGTGAAAACATCGGTTCCACGCGGAATCGAGCCCTTGTTCCACCACCAATTCGCTGTGTCCTTAACCAACGAGAAACATCATATAGACACAAGTACTAACACGAAATTAAACCATCCAAGCTGACATTCGGGTCCAAAAGAAACAGAACAGAGCACGAACACGCCGATGACCTCTAATCAACCGAGCTGACGCGCTTTCCAGCCATATGTTCATACATCATTCCTTTAGCTGCCTCCCTGCAAATGTCAACATATGGGTTGGTTTCAGTCAGAGGCATAATCACTGACATATCACGCAGCATACAAGTAACTGAAAAAAATTCATGAATTAGCATATTTTGATTCATGGAACCGTGTCGGAGGTCATTTAAGAAAATCTGTGTTATAAAGTAAAATAGGTACAAAGATTACCAAAATGCATCCTGCATTTCATCGTTTAAAGGATTGAGCTTTGTTCCAGCCATGAATGCAGTACAAGCTTCTTCGTATTCCTGGAATATAAAAACATAGATAAGATAATGACAGGGAAATGATGTATCACAAAACGAAAAACTTGGATTTTTTTTTCTTTTCTGACCTTGAGTGCCATGTGGGCACATCCTTTGCGATAGTGACCTTTAGTCCACTCTGGCTTGAGTTTTATGCAATCATTAGCATCCAGCAAAGCCTCCTGCGCTGCACCACTTCTCAGATGGCAAAGGCTCCTGTTTGAATACAGTGTGGCATCTGCAGGATCAAGTTTCATTGCCTGCATCATACCAAACTGTGATAAGCCTCCTGCGCTGCACCACTTCCTTGTTAACACAGCCATAGTACCTAGACAATAGAAGTGATGATAGTATGTAGAGACTGTCATGCTTCTGTGATGCAGAGACTGTCAACTGGGATGCAGAGACTGTCATGCTTCTGTGATGTGGCATGTGTGGAGATGGGTTCTCGTGTGATAATCTCTGTTGCTTATAGTTAGGGCTTGGATTATTGAAGAAATTATATCTGTAAAGAACATGTCAATTTTCCCATTGCCAGAGTGCACTTGACCACCCTCCACGCTGACTGTATTCACAGAAGAGTGTCAAGGGCCATGGATGTTCCATGACTAAGTGTGATCATCATTGCAAGGTTTTTTTTTTTAGAAAATCTAAAAAATGCCATTGATAAGCGCCCCAATCCAAGAAATGCCATCAACAAACCTAACTTCCTAGAAATGCCATCATACAAAGCACTTTTGTCCCAGAAATGCCATCGCCGTTAGGTTTCCATTAGCATCCCTCCGTTAAGTGCTATAAAAAGACCATTTTTGACTAATGGAAAACAAGGAAGTTAAAGTTGAAGTTTGAAAAGCATGCTAATGGAAAACAAGGAAGTTGAAATTGAAGTTGGAGAAATAGAACGCAGCCTAAATTATTGTACGTTGACTGAAAGAGTATAAGTTTTAATCATCTTTCAACAACTCGTAGGGGTAAAATGGTCTTTTTATAGCACTTAAAAGGAGGGCTACTAACAGAAACCTAACGGCGATGGCATTTCTGGGATAAAGACGCTTGTAGAATGGCATTTTCAGGAAGTTGTGTTTGTCAACGGCATTTCTTGGATTAGAGCTTTTATTTTTAACAGTACGTAAGAATCAATAACTGTAGGCTTGAAAGTGTAAATGCTGAACACAAAGTTTACATTTAACTTTTTTTTGCAGTGAACCAGCTATAACAATGGAATAAATGTGTATTATCTTTTTGAGAAAAAAAAACTATAAAATTACTTGTATAAAAACTGCGTAAGTTAAACAATAGTTATAGTGGTCTGAGCAGTAATAGATGCAAGGAACTGGAACCAGTGTAACTGAGTTTGTAAATTGCGATAATCTTTTTGTTCTGTCTTCAGCTAATGTCCGCTAACAGATCATGTATTAGCATTTAGCAATAATGAGGATAGCATGGGCAGCTGCACATTCCTATTGATTTTCCACTATGCAATTTCAGCTTAGCAGTAATAAGTCAAAAAGGAAGTAAAATCATATAATGCACATTTATATACCTCGGTGTAAAATATGATTGCACCAGCATAGTCCCCCTCCTCAAATGCTTTTCCACCATGTAATTTCAGCTTAGATTTTCTGTCTCCATCACTTCCTTTGTCCTAAATCATTAGGAAAACATAAGTAGTGATAGAAGAGAAAAAACATAGAAGCTGAAAATCTGTAAATTGACAGAATACTAGATGCAGTGTTCCTACGACCAATACCACTAACATTCTAACAATGAACTGAATCATGGTGATTACAAACGAAAGCACAGAGAATAAATCATCTCCTTTAGTTGCTTGCATTACATACATGTAGTGAAGAACACAGATGTATTATGTACCAACAAAGTAGTTTCAAGGTGCAATGTCCTCTAGTTCTAAAAAATAATTCCTCCTGTTTTCAAATAGACGATGTTTTAGATTTAGAATATGTTCAGGTAAACGTCAAAATCTTAGTTCATTAATACATAAGCAATATTAAGATTTGATAATTGAAAATGACATTAAATTTTTCATTAAAACACTCTCATGCCGTTATATTTTAATAATTAATATAGGATTAGAAAAGGTAATTATCAAACATCTGTATTGCAAATTTGTGTCGATGTCCCAAACAGACTAAAGAGGTGGTACATGTCTGATTCACCCCCTTCTACATGTTTTGGAGGAAATACCAGAATTTGGAGAAGGAAAAATACTTCCTTATTTTGTAAACACAGATAGGTTAGTTGCACAAACGTCCAATCATAAACTCGTCCCATTCCTAAACTTGTTTCTACCATTGTCCCCTTCCACCATTTATTTTGTATTGCATAAAAACCAGTACAGGATAACAGTTCTGTTGAAAACAGCAGATTAAATCTTGTAATGTTATCAATTATAAGACCCTGGCCGATTCAATCCACGTCTAGATGGTTGGTAAAGTAATAATGTACCATTTGAACTGGTAAAGCTCTACACCTGGATAATGTATTCTCATTCTCATAAAGAGAAAAACATGGGATGCAAATTATCTCGTCCTTCGCAGGGTGCCAACAAGGCAAATTCAAACAAACTCCAAAAGCTTTCGTGTTGTTCCTCTCTGGTATAGTTTTGTTCTACCAGACTACTGGTGACTGGTGCTAATGTTGGGTTTTGGAAGGCATTTCCAACAGATCAAAGAAAAAAAATCCAATAAAACAGTACAAATAAGGATAGACACAAACACACACACAGAGAGAGAGAGAGAGAGAGAGAGAGAGAGAGAGAGAGAGAGAGAGCTTTCCTTTACATTTGAAAGAAAATAATTGCCACAAGTTTATAGGTTCAACAAGTCCTAGGAGAAAAACAAAGTAAAAGCACCAAATTAGCAAGAGTTACTCACATGTTCACTTAGTTTAACTGTGGTGATCTCCAGCAAGTATGCAACACACTCAGTTAAGCCATTTCTAGTTGCTATCTTCAATGGAGTATCAGGAGTTGCAAGATTATAAATAGCACCAGCCTGCAGATAAATGTTACATGACACAACAATATGTTGTTGACATAATATCTCACATAAAACATAGGAATTTAGTAGTGAATGCCCGTGCGTAGCTATGGATTATAAAAAAAAAATCACATCATTACAATTTCAAATATTCAAGAAATCACATAATGGTTGGAATTTGGTATCTTCCCCTTTCTCTGTATATAACTCACTTTATTATTGTTTTTTTTATGTGTAACACGGTAGGTCACATTACTTTGGTCACAGTTTTGATGGTTCCACAAGTCAGGAGATAGTGGGGATAGGTGAAGGGCTGAATGCAGATTCACCCTTCAGCACCATCATTGGAGTCTTTTAAAGGAGTATAGATATACTTTTTTTCACGTGAGACTTTGGAAATAGAGATACAGAGAGGATCGATTGGGTATCAAACCTTCACAAGGAGTTTCATGCACTTCAAACACTCAGATTCATTCACTATTTCAGGAGTGGCAGAAAGAACTGCGGTCAATGGTGTATAACAATCTGGTAATATCACGTTTGGCTGCATTTTTAGAAACCAAAGTTATTCCCAAGTAAATGCATATAATTAGCAGGTAAAAGGAGCAAGTCAATACAAATCCAGAAATTAGAAATATCTTCTGTATAAATTCCTGAAACTAAGAACAAACAGTTCATAACACAATATCTGGACAAAGATAAAGTCACCAAGATATCAGCCAGCCCTCAGTACAATAATGAACATGGAAGTAAGGCACAAGGAAAATGCAACACATTCATTTGCAAATTGCAAGGCATGAAATCATGAATAAACTATCTAAAAAGCATCATAAGAAGCCTAACGACTATTTACAACCAGCATGACCTAGAACAGCCCATACTAGGAAACATATGGGCATCATAAACGACAAACACAAGAACAATGTAGCAACGAAGTCAGAAGGTAAGACAGTAGCAAACCAAAGCAGGTACATAGAACACTTGGACCCTGTTTCGAAAGCTTTTTGCATCAACTTGTGATCGTTGAATCTACATATCCACAAAAAAGGTGCAGCAGGAGCAAAAAAAACTTGGTCCATATTTTGCCAAGAACTAAACCAACACATTAGGCGGTTGGTACCATCACAAATTGAGCCTTGAATTCAACCAAACGACATGGAAAGATGAAATAAAATAAATTATGGTACTTACATTTGCGCGGTGCTCTAATAAAATCTGCACAGTGCTAGATTTTCCATTAGAGGCAGCAACATGAAGAGGTGTCCCTTCAGAAGAAGATACATCAACACTAGCTCCTTTAGATAACAACAGTCGTGCTATTCCAACGTGCCCTGAGAACAAGTGTTGGGGGGGCAACATGGAATTGTGTTACAGTGAAGAATAATTTTTTTTTTGTAGACATTCTTAATTTTGGAATTGTTCATTCCAGAACTGACTTAACATATTGAATCAAAAGTAAAGTGTATGTTTCAGAACTAGTGTGTTCTCAGGTCACAAATCAGAAGTATTATTGCGAGTATTGACCAAAACCACCTAAGCAAGCACAAACCTAACAAAATGGCAAGATTTACATAAAAGGAGGCAGATAAGCGGATTTGTCTCTTGAGCTGTTTTCCCCTACTATAAGACACATAAGTGGATTATAGATTTTACATTTAGCTTTTGTAGGGAAAGTTATACAATGCAAGCTTCGCATACCATAAACATGACAAAGGTAGTACACATGCACAGATGTAAAAGAAGTGATACCTTACCTTTTTTTGCAGCTTCATGAAGAGGAGCAAAGCCTGCTGCATCTTTCTTATTCGGATCAGCACCTTTGTCAAGAAAATACTTCACAGTAATCTCTTGTCCATCCAACACAGCGCAAAACAAAGGTGTCATACCTAGCAAGGGCATTACAAACAAGAAATTTAATCAGATAACTCCAACAAAACGATACAGGTAGTGTTGTGGTATAACAGCTTTGCAAATGCACAAATATTAGCTGCTACAATTCCAAATATGCAAAGGAGCACTTCATGAAATACTTATAGCTCAGACTGCATTTATATGACATGCAATATTAAACAATGGAATCATTCAGAAACACCACTTAATAAGTTCATATCAACAAGGATAATACTATAGTTAAAACTATACAAAACTCCCATTTCCCAAGTTCTTAGAACCAAAATTTGATGGCATGTATATACCACGCAAAAGGAACTAGAAGAAAAATCAAGTGCATAATAGATGAGCTTCACAAAGTGAACTGCATGCATTGTCTAGACACAACTGTACCAATCAAGAGTAGGCAAAAGCAATATAAAAAGGAAGGCTGAAGGAGATAATCCTTCAAATAAGAATAAAAAGGCATATCACCAACACTTTGCTATTGTGATTCTTTCTTGGATGATGTTTTCTTATATTATCTATGGCCCGTTACAAAAAACAAATTACTAGATTAGTGCAGGAATTGAGTTTTCTTCAGGGAAATTCTTGCAGTACTCCCTCAGAAAATACTACCTCACAAGACATCATACATTCATACGTCCCAAAGGTGCCACAGAATTGTTTGTTTTCATTAAAAAAGGTGACTAGTCAAGAAACAACACTTAAGAATCAAATTATAGTACTAAACGGATTTATTCACATAGCAGTGTTACATTGGTGTGCCAATTCAGATAGCAGCATGTCAGCACTATAGTTAATGTCTCCATGATAAGGTAAAGACAGTTCCTGACCCTATCAAGACTAACCTCCTCACATACAACAGCTCCCATTACAATTGCATTGCTCACGGGAGATGCACTAAGCATAATAAAACAATGCAATAACCTGGAAAGGCACATACCGGAATCATGATTAGCTTCGGCATTGACATCGAACCCAAGCTCCTCCACCAAGTACTTGCAGAGATCAATTTTTCCCGAGCTTGCTGCCTCAAACAGTGGCTCATACCCCTCCATCCTCACAGAGGTGAGCGATTGCCGATCATCCTCATCCATGCTATCAACCACCTCTTCAATACCGAAAGTTTCAAAAGAAAAGTAAGGCGCAAATTTGCACAAATTGTAATTCTAGTTCATGCAGAAGTTGTTTTTTTTTGTGTGTGCATGTGCATAAAACAAGATCAAAGTTCTAGAGAAATGGAGACACAAGTACCTCACGAAAATCACATCTAAGCACTTAGAAAAGAAAACAAAACCAAGTGGAAGAGATCTCTTACAGAAATATGGCATCATAAAGATAAGTAGTATTAGTAATTATTAATCAAAAGAAAACAAAACCAAGAGGAAGAGACCTCTAACAGAAATATGGCATCATAAAGAGAAGTATTATTAGTAATTATTAATCCCTATTAAGAATAATGGCAAACAAACAAATTCATATCCAGATTACTAGATTAGTACCAATTTGAACCAAAAATAGACAGGAAAACCCTCCGCCGCATTAAACACACATACACTTCTATCAACAACACGCACGATCGGGGTATACACGATCATATCGTAACGGAACCAGAAACGATGCATGAGGCTAAAAGCCATCTCATCCAATTGTTTACACAAATGCACAAAAAGATGGGAGAACACATTTGAGTAGAATATCCCCCAACAAAGCCGGCACAGAAAATGCTGAAAAAAAGTTCCCGATCACCAGTTCACCACCACACGGAAGCTAAAAAAAAAAGCCCTCAAAACCCTAACCAAACCCCTATCCCAGGAAGAAGCACGAGCAGTTCGGGAGTAAGACGGGCGCGGGGTAGAGCCGTAGGATCTCACCCTTGAGGCGCGCGACGTCGCCGTCCGTACACGCCATCAGGAACTCCATCTGCGGTGGCATCCCGCCGCCGACATCTGCAAACACGCACGCACGCACGCACGACGAACAACACCACCCAACCCACCATTAGAGATCCCTTCCGGAGAGCAGAATCAGCCCGAGCAGAAACGATCGGGGAGCAGCGGACAGCGGCCGCTTAGCACGTACTGATGGTGCACCCGAAGCCAAGGCGGGTGGCGATGCCGCTGATTGCCGCGGCCGCCGCCTCCGCCTGCTGGCCACGCGCATCGCTCCCGCGCCGCCCCATTCCCGGCCCTCCTCCTCCGCTCCCTCCACCGGCGGGATCCACACCACCACCACCACCACCACCGCCGCCGCCGCCTCCGCCTCCGCCGTCGCGGCCGCGGTGCCTTCCCTTATCCTTCTTCTCCATGGAGCTCAGCGAGCACGGCGAGCAGAATGGGATGGGGGCGAATGGGCGATGTGGGTTTTGCTTGCGAGAAGCGGAGAGACGAGGCGATGGCTTCTAGGAGAATGAAGGAAGGTGGCCACGTCTCGTCCGCTTTAATCGCAGCGCAGCGCGGAGGGATTGAGATCATCTCTCTCCGCCGCCTCCGAAGCACCTTGCCTTTAGTCACTGACAGGTGGGTCCATGGTTCGTCGGGACCACATGTCAGTGACTAAGGCATATACATACCGACCTTTTGAAGGTAGAGGAGCCTGACCCAGCGGGGGAGAGGAGGGAGAGAGAAAGTCCGGAGTGGCACGATCGGCCGACACGTGTATGTACGGACGGCCTAGATGGAGCGGGGAGCTGCGGCCTTGCCTCGCATGAGACGGAGGGCGGAGATTGTGGGACGTGCCGCGTGTAAAATGGTAGGTGTACCAAAATATATACCAGCGTCAACGAGATGGTCGCTGCCCTGCACTTCGCCGTGCATTTCTCCTCAAGTGGATAAAGCTCAAGATTCTCTCTCTCTGTGATCCAATTGTGAAATCATTTGCTGCAGAGTTTTTCTTTGTAAATTCAGGTCTTTCAAAAATAGTTTTTTTTGGGCAGATGTGACTACTAATAACTATTCCCTCCCTAAAAAAAACCAATTTGTGTAGATTCGTTGGGGAGGGGTCACACCCCTCCTAGGTTGCCCTCCTTTTTTTTTTAATGGAGGGATTACGATCTAATTAAGGTGCTTGTCGAGCAAGAAGACGCATGATGATGAGGCTGCCGAATGGTGGAGCTCATCCTTCACTTTCCTTTTATATATACAGTGGATAACTGGAGATCGTCACCAGACAACAGCGTACGGAGATTTTTCTTTCCTTATACTTCGCCCGTCCCAAAATATATATACATTTTATAGGTTGACACGAGTATTAAGAAGGTAGATGAGACCGTGAGAATAATTGGAGAAAATACATAATTGGTTGAAAAGAGAAAGCAGCTGAAGAAGAATGGTTGTGATTAGTTGATAGGAGGTAGGTGGAGAAATAGCTTTATTTTGAGACAAGACACTGTGCTAAAAATAGCTTCATTTAGAGACGGAGATAGTATATGCATATGGGCTAAGGGGATTAGGGTAAGTAGGTGGCGTGCACATAGTAAAGGATTGCAACTGCGAAGCCACAGACCTTGCCTTTAAGCAATAACTATGCAAGCCACGCTATGCGTGTCTCTAGCCTATGTGACACACGAAATCAGCCCAAGGCCATTCAACTCCACAGTGCATGTTACTTCTTTTGCATGGCTTTGATTGGGGCGAGCTAGTGTCGAGACTACAAAGCTCACAATACAGGTGACCAAGACAATGAAGGTGCCCCAGCCCAATAAATTAATTCCCCCAGCTACCCTTCTCCTCTCTCTTCCCTATCGGCATCGCCTCCCTCAACCTGTTGCCCACCGCCTGAGCTCCCTCTCCTTCGCCTCTCTCCTCCCTATCGCCATCGCCTCTCTCAACCAGGCGTCACGGCCGCAAATGCACCACTTCTCGAAGAAGAGGAAGTCGTCGTCGTCTTCCTCGTCATCCGCACATGGCTCCGCTCTGTCTCCTGGGCGTGGAAGAGGAAGTTGCCGTCGTTGTCCAGCCCGTCGATGGCGAAGTCAAGGATCCACCTCACGGCGGAGGTGGCAGGATGAAAGTGCGACGCTTGGCCTCATAGTGGCTCCACTCCGTTTCCTCCGCTGTGTGGATGAGGAAGTTGTCATCGTCATCCAGCCCACCGGCGACGAAGTTGAGGATCCGCCTCATGGCGGCGGCGGTGAGGCAGAAGCGCGACGCTTGGCCTTGTAGTGGCTCCACTCCAACTCCTCCGTGGCGTGGAAGAGGAAGTCGTCGTCATCATCTAGCCCGCCAGCGGCGAAGTCGAGGATCCACCTCACATCGACGGTGCTCCGTTGGCCTCCGTGCGTTTCTCCGAAGGGGATGGCGAGGTTTGTGCGGGAGTGACGGAATCGGTGGCATGGGAGGGATCAATCCATGGCCGGGAGGGTGATTTTGGGAATAGGTTTTTCGATGTGGCGCGAGGAGACGACGAGATGGAGGCTCGACCCCAACAACGCAGGCACGATTCGTTTGTGGGCCATGTGTGGACTCACGAAGAGCGAGAAAACTCATCTCCCTGCGTGGAGGTGAGATGCTCTGCAGGGATGCGCAATTACTCGCCACGTAGGCATTCATTTGAGCTGGCGGCACAAAGAAACTCACCACGCAAACACACTGTGAAGGGCCTAAGCGTAAATGGCATGGGGTGGGCCAGAAACGTGTGTGTTTCCCATGTTAATATTTTTTTTCGTACGTGTAGTATTATTATATCGAAGAAAATATGGTGAACTAATATTAACATTTTTTTCTGCAGTAGCTATGTAATGGACGTGCACTAGAGTTCTTCACAAATTCTACTTTCGAGATGACCGTTAATTGAATAGTTGTAATTTTGAGCAAATATTTGCTACTTCCTCCGTTTCATATATATATATATATATATTAATGAATCTAGACATATGTGTATGCCTAGATTCATTAACATATATATGATTGTGGGTAATGCTATAAAGTCTTATAACTGAAACGGAGGTAGTACTAGACAGTAAAAAAAAAGAATTTGGTATTAAGTGCTGATATTACTTAGTTAAAGAGTGATTAATCGGTTATCACTCATGTAATTTTCAAAAGACAATACTGAGTTAATACGTCTAATAGATTTTTTTTATACAGAACGCATGTGCGCGCATCCATCACTATACACATTTGTGTGTGCGTAATATTTATGGAGATTGAAATTTAAATCCCGATGATAATAAGGTGACAACGATACATAAAAGTTAAATAAATATGAACATATACAAATTACATAGACATACATTCAGTACCAACTAATGATAATAATAGAGTAAAGTCCATCACCGGTCCCTAAACTTGTACCGCTGTGTTATCCCGGTCCCTAAACTCACAAATCGACTGTTCAGGTCCTCAAACTTGTTCGATTGTGTCATCCCGGTCCCTAAACTTGCAGATCACTCGTTTAGGTCTACCAACTTGTTTAGTTGTGTCACTCCGGTCCCTAAACTTGGATTTGAATATCATATAGATCAAATAGGACGGTAAAGACTTTATATTTAAAAATAATTCATAACTTTTTCATGTGAACTCTAATGAAGACAAACTTTATATCAAACTTGTAGCCCTCGACGCGATCTACAACTTTGTAGTTGAATTTTTTTGTTTTAAGTCATTTTTTGTCCCAAAATGTAATATTAAAATTAAAATTTCAAAATCTATAAACATGCAACAATATTTTGGGACCCTAAACAGTTTTAATTCAAAAACTTCTCAACTACAAAGTTGTAGGTCACGTCGAGGGCTACAATTTTGATATAAAGTTCATCTTCATTAGAGTTCACATGAAAAAGTTATGAATTATTTTTTGATATAAAATTTTTAGACTGTACTGTTTAGGGACCAGGGTGACACAACTGAACAAGTTGGAGGACCTAAACGAGTGATTTGCAAGTTTAGGGACCGGAATAACACAGTCGAACAAGTTTGAGGAACTGAACGGTCGATTTGCGAGTTTAGGGACCAGGATGACACAACGGTACAAGTTTAGGGACCGGTGATTGACTTTACTCATAATAATATCTGAACTTGATCGGACATTGTATAGTAGTACTGAACTCGGAATGAACAACAGGTAACAATCTGATAGAAAATAGTGTCAAGATCCGTTATGATGAAAATTAAAAACACATTGCAGGAGCACAATCAGAGCAAAATTCATCTCCAAATTGTTAACCACGAGCATAAAGACTCCAGCCACGAGCAACTTTGTCCACACGTCATTTCACTTAACGTTTCACGTCAGTCAAATAATGGGATTGGATCACAGGTAAAATAATTCCACATCGCAAACACAAAATGGAGTGCGGAGTAATAGTTTGCTGAGAAAAACATGATTATAACATCAGAAGATAATGCCCAAATTATGTTCTACAGGCAGATGATTCCTATCCTACAACATAATCGGTCAACAGAACCTAGCTAAAGTTCTTTTTCACATGCTATTGTGCATGTATGGGTGCTTTCAAATTATCTAGGGGATACAAAAAGACTTGTTTTCTTGGATAATGCTACGCAAAGATCTGAGCGGCTGAGCATCATTGCATTAATGAATGCTCCAAAACAGACTAAATAATTCTATTATACTTACACAAGGTGCAAGTACAAAATTTGATCATTTCTATGGGAAAGACAAATAAATAGCTAAAAATAAACAAGTCTCTGGCCATATCAATAAATTAATTCCTAATAAACACCTTCCACATGAATCATGATCAAGTTAAATTGAATTTAGTCAGTATATTGTGTGCTCAATTGACAAGTGGCATGCAGCTAAAATGTCCATTATGTAGAGTTTATAAATTGTTTTATACTTTAATTAGATATGTGCAGATAGATGGTTTAAAATCAATTGCATAGGACATGGCCAACGCTTTGCAAATTTACACGGATAATAAATGTATGACTAAATCAGTTCTGGGACATTACGAAGTGGTATCTGCAGAAATCCTCTCCTGTTGGAGAAATGTCAGCATGCCACTTATCAAATGAAGTATTATTACCATGTTACCTCAGTTGTAAGAAACAGGTATATCCAGCTGCTGAGCTCACACGTTCAGGAACATATTGGATAGCTCGATCTCCCACCAAAAAGGGGTTGTGTTGAGAGTTCCCTGGAAACATAAAAGTAGAAATGCACACTCCCTTCGCAGGCATTATCCTGTTCAGGTTCAAAGGGACTTTCTCAGCCCAATTCACAACAATCCAGGCCAAGAGGCCTTCAGATCGTTGAGAATACAGGCACCCCTGGTGCAACTTTCATTACTAACAACCCACAGTGATGCAAAGAGTAGAAAATATGACACGGAAGGATCACATATAGAGTTTAATTTTATTACAAGCCACGACAGAATTAACAAATTGAGCTAAGCAACACCAGCTTTATTCAAGGCACTTATACTGCTTACCACCTCCTAACATAGGATGGTGAGGAGTGCTGCTGATAAACGCTCCACCCGGAGTAGATGGACACCAAGACGATCTGCACGGAGATTGTATTCTGAGTTCCGAGAAGGCGAGAACATGTTATTGTGATATAAAAGTTAGTGCCTTTGCAGTAATGCACATACAAGTCCAAGCCACTAAAGGTTTATTAAGGTCCCTGAAATTACAAGTAGAAGTTGATAAAAACAGAGCAGCTATCCAGTGCTATTACAGTTAGTGTCAAATTTCAAATGTACATGCAAACCCATTTCAAAGGATTGCTGTGAGAGTAATTTTCCCTTAAGAAATATAACTGAAGATAGTGTGTGGAGTCAAAATTACAACAGTTCTCATAGATTTATGAAAAATTTCTGATGTACTCCCTCCGTCCCATAAAAAACCAACCTAGTACTGGTGTGACACATCCTAGTACTATGAATCTAGACATACCTCTGTCCAGATTCGTTGTACTAAATGTGTCACATCCAGTCCTAGATTCATTTTTTTCGGGATGGAGGGAGTAAAAGGATTAGCAGAATGTTTACTGAATGGTAGATAGTACTCGAGTAGTATTTATTTAGTCAAGATAATTCAGAAATATTTGTAACAAGCACTAATGCTATATAACTAGTAGCATGTATGAAGTTACTGGGTCAACAAAAGTGCTAGAGAAGGCATCTGAAAAGCTGTTTCAAGACGGTAAGCTCACATTAATGGCTTATTTATGTAAAACTGATTGAAATACGGCACTAGACCATTTTACTCCAGATGACTAATTGCTTCATACTGAGTTAAAAACCCTACATATTCAGAACAAAAGAGTCCAAACATCTCCCACAAGGTGAACTATACATGATAAGAAAAAGACCAACCTTATTTGCGAGCTGTATAGCTTTCTGGAACATATATCTCCCCTCCAGCTTCACCATGTTGCTCCCCACTGATTGTTTTCCTTGCAGCTGAAAACTCAGCACTCATAGCATTCATTCCTTGTATCACCGCTTCCTCCACTGTCCCGTAACCATGTTCATCAGCATATTTTCTAATATCCTCTGTGATTTTCATCGAACAAAACTTTGGGCCACACATTGAGCAGAAATGTGCCACTTTGGCACCCTCCGATGGTAATGTTTCATCATGGAAAGACATAGCGGTCACAGGATCCAGAGATAGAGCAAATTGATCCAACCATCTAAACTCAAATCTTGCCTTGCTTAGTGTATCGTCCCATGCTTGTGCATAGGGATGGCCCTTTGCCAAATCAGCAGCATGAGCAGAAATTTTGTAGGATATCACGCCTGTCTTAACATCATCACGGTTAGGCAATCCAAGGTGCTCCTTTGGTGTTACATAACAGAGAAGTGCAGTGCCAAGAGCCCCAATGTTGGCAGCACCAATGGCGGAGGTGATGTGATCATAACCAGGTGCAATATCAGTTGTCAGTGGCCCCAGTGTGTAGAAAGGTGCTTCATTGCACCACTCCAGTTGCTTCTCCATGTTTTCAGGAATTTTATGCATCGGAATGTGCCCTGGGCCTTCATTCATTACCTAAAAATTGAGAAATGTCAAAAACACTGCTTGACAAGGTTAAAAAAAATTGAATTGTGTAGCTAATGGAAACAAATCATCATTCAGGCACATCACCGTTCAAAGTTTCTACTACCAAATTATTAGGGAAACAAAAACGATTCATCATTTAGAGCATGTCATTTACAATAAAGAGTTTTAAAACCACATCTCTAACATCTTCTCATATGTTTATCTGTATGAGTTCACAAAGAGTGTAACAAGCAAGAAGAGAAGTAAATTTCTACAGATACTTTCTGCAAAAGCTTAATGATTAAGGAAGACTATATTGCATTAATTGAACATGTAGTTGTATAATACAATACTTCCAAAATAAGTGACATTATTAATGCCTGCAGATTTAGCAATCAGCTCATTTCTACTATTTATTCATTTGTAGTCTATTTACACCAAACTAACATTTTGAACAAGAATAAGTTTTAAGCGCTGATCTTTGCAAATATCTTCTACTTTCTGACCAGTTCTAGAGACCCTATACTCTACAGGCCATCGTTTATTTCATGCATTTTTTTAGTAGAACCATATGCATATCGAGTATAGGATTTGCATCTATAGTTTCAGTATAGATAGCAGGCGATACTTATTTCAAGGATGTTCTATATTCTTGTCAACAGACAAAATCAGAGACCAATAAGTCAACTGTATAAGTTTATTCACAATACATGTTCTCAGTTTCATATACGAAAAATTGGAACATTAAACTATGGCGGAGTATATTACAATGTGTCGAGGATATGAAATGCATAAAGTTTGTAATTTAATTGATCACATTGTTCTCACCTGCACATCTTTTGCCCAAGCTCGGCGTGTGAGTTCCCCTTGAGTCAGCAATTCTGCAAACTGAGCACTATCATTTGCATCATAAATAGAACCTGGTCTCAAACCATCGCCAATGGATAATGCCACATCATACTGATTGCAAATATCAAGAATTTCATCCCAGTGCTCATAGGCAAAGTTCTCCTTATGATATGTTAGGCACCATTTTGCATGGATAGAGCCACCACGTGAAACTATGCCGGTCATTCTCTTTGCCGTAAGAGGAATGTAACGAAGAAGCACGCCAGCATGGATTGTGAAGTAATCAACACCCTGCTCAGCTTGTTCGATTAAAGTATCTCTAAAGACTTCCCAGCTTAGATTTTCAGCAATACCATTAACTTTCTCAAGTGCTTGGTAAATAGGCACCGTCCCAATAGGGACTGAAGAATTACGAAGGATCCATTCCCGGGTCTCATGGATATGACGCCCTGTTGAAAGGTCCATGACAGTATCAGCTCCCCACATTGTAGCCCACTGGAGCTTGTGTACTTCCTCCTCGATGGAGCTCACAACAGCAGAATTCCCAATGTTTGCATTCACTTTTACAAGGAAGTTTCGTCCAACAATCATGGGTTCCAATTCCAGGTGCCTCTTGTTGGAAGGAATTATAGCTCGTCCACGGGCAACCTCTGACCGGACAAATTCAGGACTAAGGTTCTCACGTGTGGCACAGTACAACATCTCCTCTGTTATGATTCCCTGCTTAGCGTAATACATTTGTGTGTATCGAGGACCACCTAACTTCTCCCTCCTGTCAATCCATTCCTTCCTTATCTTTGGAAGTCCTGCAAAAAAATTCAAATGCTTATGCAAATTGTCAAATATGTTAGGGGGAAAGAGAGGGAAGAACCCTCAACCATCCTATCAGTATAGTTATTTGAATATGGAGAGGACTGGACATAGTTACTTATGTAGCGAAAATGTGAGAAAAGGTAGCCTAGGCACTGCATGATGTCAACACTGGTTTGTATACCATTTTGGTTTAACAGTATTAGTTCAGTTGTTCTGGTGTCATCTCTTTTTACTGGCCGTTTTGGTACTATCAAATTAACTATGCAATTACATTCATGTATCAAACTGCACGATACCTAATATCATACGTCCATGTTCCCTATGGAAATTATTTCTATTAGTTTTGAAATAAATTGGTATAAATGAAAAATAAAACTCCGCAAATAGTACAGAAATATAAAAAAAATAAAATTTGTAAATAAAAATAACAAAAAGAGTTCAAAACAATATAAGGTATCATAATTGCATTAGAGTGAACATAAAAGAACAAGAAATAATTTCCACTAAGCCGCTGATCTTTCCTTTCATGCAGGATTGATAAAAAAATGTAAGATGTTATGTTCATTAGCTTGGTTTGGGGGTTTAGTTTGACAAGAGAAATGAGGTCAGTGAGTTACCAATCCTTGGACTAATGTTTTGTGGACCACTGGTGTCGTATGTGTCAAAATGCTTCTCATCTCCGGTCAAATGGATTCTCCTAAATGGGATCTTGAGGACATGGCCAGATTCCTCGTGCACAATTTCTCTGAAGAACATAGTCACAGGCAACATAAGCTTTAGTGGAGGCGTTAACATACCGGAATGTAAGTAATTCCAATACAGTTCTTAATGAAAAGTGAAATGTAAATCTTGCCTGGATTCTTTTGTGCTCCTTGGAAAGCATTCTTCAAATGATGGGAGTGGCAGAAATTCTGGAGCAGAAGGATCAACAGTGTGCTTGTTTTGCCTGGGTTTTGCTGGCTCTGCTGTTGACTGGTCAGTCACTGAAGCTGCTCTAGGCCTTGAACAAGTGAAGTTAGCGCTCCTGTCCTGCACATCTTGAGGACGTGCAATACCACCAAATCCAGGTAAAACTGCAGTTTTGGGTAACTTCAGACTTTTCATAGCCATTGCTGAAGAGAATGAGGGTTGCAGGGCAGCCATTTCCTGTCCAAAGGTAGAGAAAAATTAATGATTAAAGACAGTGCAACGCTATCAACTCAAAAGCTTTATATCTGCACTTGCAGAAAACTACAGTCCTAATCTTATCTCCATGTAGGCTATCTGAAGATGACGACAAATGCATGTAGCAGTCGAAATAACCCCTCTAGCTCTGATGCCTTTAATATTCAGAGTTCATTCATGATGCCTGATGAACTGGTTTTGATTGAAAAAATGATTCATATTTCAATTCTATACTGGAGAACTCTATTCATCCCTTAAGGGGATATCCCCTCATTTTTGCATGTCACTTAAAAAGTCATCAAAAAATTTAAAATAATTTAGTAAGATAGATCAATATGTGATATGTAACTTCACAAACATGCATATTCAAATTCAACTTATATAAGTAAAAACAAAAATAACAAATTTAACTATGAATAGAACGTGTAATTCACGGTTAAATTTGTTATTTTTGTTTCAAATTGTATAAGTCGAATTTTAACTTGCATGTTTGAAAAAGATATATCGTATAATGATCTATCTTGACAATTTCTTTTCAAATTTTTTGATAACTTTTTGAACGCTATGCACAAAACGATGGGATGTCCCCTTGAGGGACAAAAATACACTTCCTTCTATACTACTCTACATCTCAGATGAAACATGCCTTACAAAGGAGTTGTGGAACTTGTGTCTCCCCTCTCCCGTGTGCACTGCACCGAACAAGAGCATAGAGCATATACCCATGTGGAAAAACTAGCGTCCAGAATCAAAGAGGCCCCCCATGTACCAATACGATCGAGAACTAGATAACCACGGTAGCAACAGAGGCCTTCACCACGCGCGCACGATCTATCAAGCATCAACCGTATCATACGGAAATCACACCCGCAAAGACGCAGGCAAGCAAAGCGAGACCAGCCAAAATCCTTACCCCCCTAATCCACAACGCATCCAGAAACCTACGATGCTACCGCTAGAAGCAGCATCCAAAACCGCAACCCCGGCCCGTCGGCCGCGCGAGATCCCCCACGGATTCCGACGAGGCAAATCCCCCGTTCGTTCTGATCGAAACGAATGCCGGAGAGCGGAAGGAAAGGTTCTCTCACCTCGGGGCGGCGGCGGCGGTAGCCGGGAGCCGGGAGGGAGAGGAGAGGAGGGGCGACGCGGGCGGAGGAGGAAGTGAGGAACTCGTGAGCGGGATGGGGGGGAGGGGTGCAAGGGCGGAAGATATTTTTATAGCGGGGGGCGCGCGGGGGATTGCAGATTTGGGGGGAGGATAGCGGACGGGTGGCCAAAAGAGAGAACGGACGGCCAAAAGCGACGGCCGACGGGAGGGGAGATATTTCTGTCCGGCCACCACAGATACTTTCTCTGCGCCAGCGGACGCTTCCAACGGTCCGAAAAAGAGAATTGATTAGGACAGGAGGGATGATGGCGTGGCGTTTGCAGTAGTATGGGGACGGTTAATTTTGGGCCTGTTTATTGATGACGTTTTCAGCCATACAATTATTTAGTAAAGATTGAATTACGTTTTGGGCCAGATTTTATTACCTAAGTTTTATTTTGGACCACCCTTAAACATATCTTTTCACTTTGAACCGGATAAATTTGCTATTGTTATAATTTGGACCACCACGAACGATTTTTTCAGTACAAACAACGACCTTAAGCACATCAGCTCTAGTATACAGCCGAACTCTTCTATGTATGGTTCATATGTTTGCCAAAAGAGAAGTTAGACGTGACGAGAAAAGTTGTTCATGATAGTTCAAACCGTAATAATGATAAATTTACCCGGTCCAAATTGAAAAGATATGTTTAAGGGTGATCCAAATTGAAACTTGAAACTTGGGTAATAAAAGGTGGTCCAAATTGCAATTTACTCTTTAGTAAAATTGATAATTATATGAATATATTTAGTTTGTTACTAAATATTGGTAATGTGTATAGAATTTTGACAACATTATTAAGCCAATCCTATCAAAATTTTGATAATATTGTCGATTTATAAAATTTTAGAATTTTCAAATTTTGATAAGGTTTATTTGGCACCAATTCGAACAAACCCTTTGTTCGTTGGTTGAGGTGGTATTGTCGTGCTATCCTCTACCGAACCTCGGGTGTTGTATGTTAGTGTTTGATATGCTATATGACGGATGATACTGTACCGGTGGGGACGGTATTGTGCTAAGAATATAATCCCACGGGACATGGATTGTTTTGTTCGCCGAGAGAAATGGACAAAGCCTTTTTCACTGTGTATATAGGGTCTAAATCATCGTTTCAAGTGACGAATACAGGGAAATACATGAGAAAATAACTACTCCCTCCATTTCATATTACTAAGTTGTTTGACTTTTTTTTAGTTTTACTTAAGTTTATAGAAAAATATGTTAGTATTTCAACTCAAAATAAATATATTGTTAAAATATATTCAATGTTACATTAAATGAAACTAATTTGATATTTTAGATGTTGCTATTTTTCTGTAAAGTTGGTCAAACTTAATAAAGTTTGACTAGGAAAAAAAACCAAATAATTTATAATATGAAATTGTGGGGACACCCGATAAAGTCATGGTGTCCCACGAATACGTAACTGCCCAGGATGTTCAGTTACGCATGAAATGATATAAAAGCATAAACTTCGATTATATAGTACTTAAGTCACTTAATTCACAACACAACATAAATACAAACCATTACATATATGGCCTATAAAGCCTTATTTCTACAAACAGATAAACTGCTAGACTTCACCACAGGAACTGCCTGAGCGTAGGATGACCTAGAAACCATAGCTGTCCCACTCTAACGGGTCAACAGGATCTTCACAAGCATCCTCCTCATGATCTGAACCCATTTATGAGTACAAAAGGTACTCAGCAAAACATGCTTATGATAGCAAATGCAGTAATTGCAATATAAAACATGCAGTATTAAGAGCTGGAAGGTTTAAACCCTAACCTTAACAGTTATTTCATAGAGCCTATCTTAATAAGCATTTGATATAAACAACAGTATTGAACATTTAATTTAAACAATAATAACGAGCATAAAAATATAAATGTTACCTATAAATAACTTGAATAGAACATCAAGTAATAAATAAATTAACCATATTAATTAATAGCCATTTAGTTTAACTTGTGCCCATAATCTGGAATCACCCATAGACACATCTCCATTAACCGGGAGCACGGCGTATTCGAATACTCAACGACTCTGCAGTGTTTGCCCAGCTTTACCCACACGATACCCACAGCTGGCCGGGCTGAAAAGTAACAAGGTGTAATATTGCTCCATATATCTCTCCCTTCTACCTAGTAAGTTAAAGGATGCTCGGGATGTTGCTCGGAGTGATCCGGTCTGAGGTGTGTACCAACCTACCTCCGCATCCACTTACCATTGTTCGTTACTCGATGGGCAGCCCAGAACTTCATGGGCCCATAGGGCAGTTCTGAACTCTCGGGGCCCATCGAGCCTACATATATAAATCATATAAACATGAACCATGTCACTTTGCTTCACACACTTGAAAGCTAATGGCCAGTACACCGAAAGGCCTGCAGAAGTTCAATCAATTGGAGCAATATACGGCCAGGTTCGACAAATCGATCCTGTGGATGGGCGAAACTATATCATTCTTATTGACAAAGGGGGTTGATTATTATATCAATTTTAAATAAGAAATAACCATAAATATATCCATATATCCATCACGACCATAAACAGGTCCATAAAACCAAACACATGAACTCTATCATGTGTACCACCCGCTCACATGCGGTGTCAACAGTTCTTAGCATATAGCCATAAATAGTTCCATAAGCATGTTTTCATATGCAATAATAATATCCATATTAAATCAATAGCATGTTAAATAATGAACCATTTGCTTAGGTGTTTCTCAAATTTTATCCTAAGTTTGTTAGACTCTAAGGCTCATTAAGGTGTTTATAACAACAACAGAAAATATAATGCAATAATAGTAATATAATTAATTTAAAAGAATTCGTGCAGTCTATCGTACTCCAAAGGACAAGTACGCTACCAAAATAACTCTCTAACTACTGGGATTAAATTGTTCAAGGGAGGGTGCATGTCTTGCAACCTTCGGGCTCGATGTAGTCGTACAAACCATCTCCTCCTGGCGCGGAGATTTCACTTGCTCCGACTACCGGACCAACGTCAATGCTTTCTATTTACGCAACAATCATCACCACAATAAAATAACAGAAAAATAAAGACAACCAAAAGAAAATAGTACCACAAAGTGCAACAATGGGTGAAAAGGATTTAAAGAAATAATTTTAGGGATTTTTGGAATTTCGGTGAACGGCGTTGTCGGTGACATGGGGCCGGGGGGTATCATGACTAGAGGCTTGGGGAGCCACGGTCACCCACGTGGCCTGACCCCCTCGGGGGGGTCGGGCCCGAGGGTGACGTGGCCACCCCTCCCTCCCTCTGTCTCCCCGAGGGTCGGGCCGCTCCCGTTTCGGCCCCGAGGGTTGGGGCGCCCCGACCCCCTGTGGTGTTGGCGCCACGTGTGTGGGTTAGGTGAGCACAGCGGCGCTCACCTAACCGCATTTATAGCGGGTCAGACGCGCGCGCCACGCCGCATTCAATGCGGCGCAGCGCATGCTTATCCGGTCCATGACCGGTCGCAGGGTGTGACCGGTCACAGACCGGTCAGATCGCGGGTTAGGTGGCAACAGGCGGCCTGTCGCACGCCTCGCCCCGTCTCGTCGGAATGATGAGAGCTTCCTGGCTCTTGTCCCTAGCCGGAGCCAGCGTGCTAACTCCTGGAGTTGGTATGTCAGTCCCGGTCAGATCCATTCCAGGCTTCAGCGCAAGTATAGCAAGGAAGTCGCTGGCCATTAAATGAAGGTTGAAACGGGCGTCCACCGGGAGAGCGAACGAGCGGAGCAGAAGGCGTGTGCTCTGCTTGTCAGAGGTCACTTCCGGCTGTAGACTAGCCCTCATTGTAAAAAGCATGTTTCCTTTCTTAGGCAGTAAGAGGCCCATGTGGTGACCCCTAACCAGATAAAAAGGAGGCCCAGGCCTAAGAAAGAGAGAAGAAAAAGAGGGTGCTGGAGCGGAACTCTCTCTGGCTCTCCGGCTCTCGGTAATTCCTTCACACACAGATCCACCAGAACACAGGAGTAGGGTGTTACGCTTCTCAGCGGCCCGAACCTGTCTACGTCGCCCGTGTCTTGTGCGCTTCCTCTCTCGCTGACATTCCTCAGATCGAGGGCGAAGAACCTCACTTAGCGCCCCCGGCCGAACCGGCAAAGGGGGGCCTGCGCGGTCTCCCGGTGAGGAGCCCCACGCTCCGTCATCTGGCGCGCCAGGTAGGGGGCGCGCGTGTCTTTCTAAGCCCTCGTCCTCTTTCGTGTGCGCCAAGCTTCTCCCGCTCAGCCCAATGGCCGAACGGGCAGTGGCGCACAACCTCTCTCCGAACGCTAGCGGTGACGACGGGGAGCAGAACCCGCGCCGTCGGGCTCGCACCCCACCGTCCCCTCTCGCCGAAATCTTGGGCGGGGAGAGGCGCTCGGGGAGGTCAGAGGATCCGCGACATCGCCGCCCGCGGGCGACGGGGGAGGACGGTGTAACGCCCCGATTTTCGTTCGGGTTTAAAAATCATTAAATAATGCATTTTCTAGAAATTAAATAAAAGTTAAATCAATTTAATCAAGTGAAATAATGGGAGAATTAAAATTTTCCCTTAAAAATCATTGGCCGGGAATATTTTGCAATATTCTTTGTGCCCTAAAATACTCTCCGGATTTTTCCGTGAATTTTCGGAGTTCAAGAAATAATTTTAAAGTCACAAAGTTCATTAAACTAATTTAAATAAAAAGAAAACAAAATAAACTTCCCCTTCCTCCCTTTCGGGCTCGGCCCAAAATCCTCTCTCCTTCCCCTCCCGCGGCCCGGCTTGCCTCCCCTTTTGGCGCAAGTCTGCTTATCCTCCCTCCCGGCCTCCCCTCTCACTCAGGCCGACAGGTGGGACCCGTGGGCCCCACCTGTCATCCCCAACCTCCAGCCCGGGCCGGCAACTGCCATGGCCGCCCGAGCCGCCCACGTCGCCGCCCCTCCCCGCGCGTCTTCCGATTCCCGCGCGCGTGTGGGCGCGGTCCACCCCACGTCATCCCCTTCCTCCACCATTTCCCCCACTTCTCCCCTCCAAAACCGACGCCAAACTGCCCCCACTCACCCACGTCGCCGGCGCCCCTTTCCCCCTTCA